GGATCCTGGATCCTACCGCAGCAGGTGCATTGAAGCCAGACCAGGTGGGGCGAGACAGACCCTGCAGACTGTCTTGCCTTCAGGCACCTGGGATTTCTGGAACATACCCATTCTTAGGGGTGTTTTCCCCTCCAAAGCATGTTTTGAAATGCTGGCACAGCCCCTGGGCTGGCAGAGCACATGGTATGCGAACGCACCTTCCCACAGCTCCCCAGTTCTGGGCATCCAGATTTAAGAAAGATGCAGGGAAATTAGAAAGGGTCCAGCGTAGGGCAACAAAAGTGATCCAGGGGTTGGAAACACTGCCCAAGAGGAGGGACTGGGAGAACTGGGCATGTTCAGGCTTGAGAAGAGGAGGCTGAGGGGGGGACATGATTTCCCTCTAGAAGTCCCTCAAAGGCTGTCAAGATCTCTCCTTGCTGATCCAGAGTGCAGGACATGGAATAACCACTTCAAGCTGTGACAACCCAGGTTCAGGCTGGACATCAGGAAGAGCTTCCTCACTGTCAGAGCAATGGGACAGTGGGACCAGCTGCCTGGGGAGGTGGGGGGCCCTCCCACACCAGAGACTTTCAAAAAGAAGCTAGACAGCCACCGGAGTGGGATGGCGTGACTTGGTGTCCTGCCACAGCAGCGGGTGGACTGGATGGCCTTCCTGGCCCCTTCCAGCTCTGCTATTCTATGATTCTATGCTCAGTGGAAAAAACAGGTGAGCAACTTTGCTATGTGCACATTTCACTTTCAGAGGCGCATTTCTGCAGCCAGGAAACCCTTCCAGGCATCCACACACGACGGATCCATCTAGGCTGGTTGGGTGGAAACAGTTCTCAAGGGTTTCAGACAGATTTTTTTGTCCCGGATCCAAGAAGCCTTCTGCGTGCAAGAAAAGCCCTCGCTACGAGGCAGTGGCATGTCCCGTTGAGCTCGGAGGCGATCAGGGACAGCCGCCCCCTCCGGGAGCCCTCCAGGTGCGTTGGACTACAACCCCCATCAAACCCAGCCAACCTGCCCCTGGCCCGGAATGGGAGAGTTCTAACCAACAGAGGCTGGCAAAGGCTGCTCGGCGGCCACCTGGGGGCCTGGCAAGGAAGCTGAGCACTGTATGGTCACGGTGGGTGAGCTTGTGAACCCCCAAACCTATCTGGCAAACCTCTGAGCCACGTGCTAGGAGATGCCGAGAAGCCCCAGCCGCGTTGAGGCCTCCTCCTACTGTTCTGTTTGCACCCTCGAACGGATCTCTCCTGACTTACGAAATGCCGGCATCCAGCAACACCCCCTCCCCCCCCCCCCCCATGGGAGGCAAAGGGCGTCTCTAGTGCTCGAGCAATTCTGCCAAGCAAAGCCAGCCTGTGATTTGAAAGGCTGCAAGAAAGAACGAACGAACGAACGAACGAACTCTAGACTGACCCAGATTTGTGAAAAGCAAGAAACCCGTGACAGACACTCATCTCTCCCCCAAATGGAAGCAGATGCTGCCTTGCAGTTCCTCTTCTTTTTAAAGCTTCTCTTGTGAGTGGCTTTTAGCATTTTCAGAAGAGACGGCATTGAGAGTTCCGGCTCAAGATTGCCGGCGTGTATTGAGCGGAGCTGCTATTATAGATCGGAGTATAAGTAATCCTGAGCAACTAGAACAGCATTGTGCAAATTTCTGCCCTTCCCAACCTATGGAGGCATTCGCCACCCTCACTGCGAATGATGGGAGCTGTGGTCCAACAGACTTGTGGGCACAGCACTGGGGAAGCTGGCATGAATCAAGAATTTCCTACCAAAGATGAGACTCTCGGCTCTCTGCTTTCTGTGTTGAGTCTGTAGCAGATTCTGCTCCGTGTTCTCTTTATGCGCAAACCCCCTTCTGTGTGCAGTTTCCCAAAGGCGCATCAGTGGTGCGCAGGAAGGGGCGGTGATTCTACAGGGCAAGACACCCGGAGCTGCTTCAGGGTCGCATCACGAGCTTGCCATTCTACCCCGCTCCGCCCCAGAGACGGGGGCCACGCTTCAGGGGGAGACGCCTGAATTTGCAATAGTGGCTTTCAAAGGGGACGGGACACACCCTGGAGGAGGGCTATCCGTGGCTACTAGCCTGGCCGGCTACCTGCTGCCCTTCACGAGAGGCAGCACGCCTGAATGCACCAGCCACCAAGGGGCTTGGGCAGGTGGAGGTCTTGCACCCATCCTGCCGGAGGGATCCTGCCCCCATGAGAGCAGAGCGCTGGCCTTGTGCCTGACCCTGCAGGGCTCTGCTCATGCTCTTGTGCCCCAGGGCATCGCTGGGAAGGAAGGAGTTGGCAGTTTGTCACAGACGTACACAATGGTTTTCTGTCGTTTCTTTAAAACGGCACTTATTCTCCAAGAACTTTAGAAGTTTTCTCTGACCAGATTTGCAAACGATTCCAGAACGGAAAAGGCTGGTCCTCAAGTCCACAGAATGTATGTGACACAGAAACAAAATGGTTCACTGTGGAACCACTGCGGAAAGATCCGGGGACCGGCTTCAGGCAGGACGTCGGGAAGTAGATGGTTGCAACCCCTGGGATATGGAGTGAGCTCCCATGGGGGGCGGTGCAGGGCCCATCAGGGGGGTGTTCAAGGACAGGCTGGCCGTGCACACGGTGGGCCTGTCGTGAGCGGAGCCGGCTGGAGCCGGGGGTCAGACTAGATGGCCCGGGAGACCCCTTCTGACTCGCTCTGTTTCTCTGTTTTCTAAGAACCTGTGGGTGGGATTCATCGAAACCCAAATTCTTTCAAAGCTGTTATGGATTCCACTGGGATTCCGACTGAAGACAGCTTCTGCCCCCAGACCGAACACCCACGGGGTTTTGATGTGCAGAATGAAATTAGGGAGGTATCGAAAAGAGAAAGTGACTCACGCAGATGTAGCTGCAGATGCCACGCTGAATGAAGGATGCTCCGGTCAGGACAAGGGGTAAACAACCGTGAGTTAAAACCCTGATTCCCAAACCAAGCAGAAGGCAGGTGAACCCTAGACGTGTTCTGAAAGATGTCCTCGTACAAGGAGCGTCGCTCGACTGGCTGCAAACAGTGACCAAGAGGCCATCAAATTTAATTTATACACAAGTAGAACACTGCCAAGGAAGTCCCATTTGACTTCAGCGGAAGAAGCTTCTATAAAAGGAGAGAACTGGTGCAAAGGGAACTGAAAGGAAAAGTCGAGATAATCAAGCACCTCCAGGAAGCTTGGCGATCCCTCCAGATCACAAGAGCAGAAGCTCAGCCAGAAGGCACTGCACGGGTCAGGCCAGGTCACTCCAGACCTGGACTCCAGCAGCCTGGTAGCCAACCAAGGCCCACGAAGGTGGGCTTTTCCAAGTTACCAAGCCCAGGCGGTTTGCGACCAAGAGCTCTTCAAGGATTTGTGATTGAATAAAACTTGTTCCTGAGGTTGGTCTCTGCACCCAATGAGTGGAACAGAACAGAACACCGAGAGTAAAAAGGGATGCGGCAGCAGAGGGGTCAAAATCAGGGAAATGCTACTAAGTTGGATTAAGCTGGCGCTTCAGGTCAATTTGGGCCAGGCCAAGCCCTGTCCGAGTTGGGCTGGCTCAGGCTCTTGGCCCTCGAGCGGTGAGGTGACCGAGAGGCCTTCCAGTTCAGCCACAGCTTCCCTTGCGCAGCTTTTATTCTTAAGCCAGGGCTGCGAACTCCAGCTCTCCAAACACAAACTAGTTAATTATCTGGAGATCTTGAACATCCCTTCTCTTCTCTTCAAAACTCATCCAAAGACAACTGGGATTCCAGCTGGTTTGTTTTCTAAGCAAACAAATGGAAAACTATAAAGGCTGGAATCGGGATCGGGATCCGCACCCATTTTCTGTCCCCTGAACACACCCGAAAAGCCATGAGTATACCTGGGCAGCATCGCTCAGAGGTGACCCTACAGTGCATGAAGGCTCTCCAACCAGAGCAAAGGGGGCTTTGGTTGTGAGTCTTCCCTCTGGTAATCCGGTGACCTCAGCCTGTTCGGTTGAGCCAAAGAGCTTCAACGGTGCAAGAGGCAGGAGAGATGCAGAAAGGCTCCTGGCATCAGCCATTTGGACTTATCAGAAAGAAAAACCTAAAAACTGTCAGAGCCTGACATTGTAAGGGGTGCGGGGGGGGGGGGGAGAAATCTTCTGTTTCTTTGGATACAAGTTTTTAAAAAGGAACCAGATGGCTTCTATCATCGTTACTAACAGAAAGCAAGTGAGAGCAGGAGACAGAGAGAGAGAGAGCATTCTATTCCCATCCTAATTTTGGTGCTAGAAGAGGCAGGAAGATCCCAGTAAGTATCATGGGGAAAGTACCTTCCACAAAGCAAAAAAGACGTGTAGGGTCTCAGCCCCAAAGTCCAAACATTCCTCCAGGTCTCTTTCAACTCTTTGCATATTCTAAATTAATTTGACCACGCACCACTGAGAGTATAGAATTGGTATGGGTCTAGTCTATCTTTCTCACCTTTCCATGGCCTCTTTCATGTTTCTAGTCCTTAAGGTTATGCAGAGAATTGGAAATCTTGTGGGCAGGGCCTTGCAAAACTTCAGCAGAGGGCTGAGTTGGCCTTTCAAGGGCAGAACTGACCATACACATTTGGAGATACCTGACAATTCACACCACTTCTGAACTCAACATCTGCTCCTGAAGTGGGGTGGAGGGCTGCTTTCGGTATGCATGTATGCATCTCGCTATTGACTTAATCTATGTGCCTCCACTGTCCCCATGGTGCTGGAAAAAAGCAGTCTGCAATTACAACAAAACTCCTTTAAAACAAGAACAAACAAACAAACAAACAAACAGAGCAGTATAAAGAGGAGGGCTTCTCCTCCCCTTGGAGCAGTACTTCCAGCAGCAGTGAGAGCCCTCCTTCCAGCAACAGGGCCTTGCGCCAGCCAAACCCACCAGAAGTGCTTATTCATGGTGGTGTCAAGGTGCTTTACTGGGGTGCAGACAAGCTCCCCGGTGCGCGGCACGTCCTCCTGCCTCGCGCTAGGCACGCTGTCTCTTACCTTCCCCTTCCGCCGGCCTGTAGGGGTTGTATTTCGGCTTGGGTGCCACGACGGGAGCGAACTTCCTGGGCGCCTGCTGAGTGGAGACGGAGATGCTCGGGGCGCCGAATGCGTGCGTCGTCTCCATCCTCGCGCTCACGTGGCCCGCGGGCTCGCTGGAGTTCTTCGGGGCCAGCCATGAAGGGTGAGCCATTGCTCAGGCCTAGGAGGACGAGAGACACCGGGGGTCAGCCCTGCTCCCTGCTCGTCTGCCCTTCAGAGCCGCCGAACGGCTTGCAGGGGGGAAGCTGCAGGCTCCAGGCCCCCTTGCCGGCTGCCCTTTCCTTCGTTTTCCCACTGCTTTTTCTGGCCCTGCCCCTTGCCGCTGGCTTTGCCCACCACTAGAAAGAGGCTGCCTGGCCGTTTCTCCGAGCCTGAGGTCAGCCCATGGGCCGAACAAGGTTCCCCATCCCTGGCTGACAACGTTGCACGGAAAGAGAGCAATGAAACGTTCTCAGTCGCACCATGAAACCAGCAGTGGAAAAACGCTGCCCGGTGCTGCCGCCGCCCAGATGAACAGCCGGGGGAACGAAAAGGCCTCATCCTGGCATCCAAAGGGCACCAGACGAAGCACCAGGAGAATCCCCCTGGAGGGAGAATGGCGCCGTCGGGGTGCCGGAACTGAGGCGTGCCGCGGGCGCAGGCCTGGGGGAGAAGTGCCGGGGAGCTGAGCCCACCCGTGCCAGGTAAGGCCGGAGGGGCCGTGGCTTTGGCTCCGAGAGGCCAAGTGGCCCCGGCCCGCGCTCGCACGGGCTGTGCTGCAAGCGTTTGGGCCGGCCACTGCGCCCATGCGGCGCCCCGCGGCCACAGCGCCCGTCGCTCTCTGTGTCCCGATCGAAGGCGGCGAGGTGGATGCCTGGCGCGGCAGCCCAGCGAAACGATGTTCTCAATGTCTCAGCGAGACAGATAAGCTGGGCCAGATTTACGGTGGATGCTCAAACACCGAGGAAAACATTTGCTTAGATTAAGAGGTAAGCTGTAAGATGTTAACTTGATTTATGAATGGGTGTCCATTCTTTAAATCAGCAAGAAACATAGATTGATTTTCATTCCACAGATCCTACACATGCGTTCCCCCAAAAACATTATTTATAACATGCTTTTATCTCGCTTGACTGTGCTATCACAGCTGCTCTAACAACCACAATAAATGGAGCAATATGAATAAATAGGAGAAGACCAACGTTCTTTGCATGAACAGAAAGTTTTCCACTGGGCCAGGAATATAGTGCGCCTCGAGGGCGCGAGGTGTTTAGGAGAAGAGGTTAGCTGTGGGAGGGGGTGACGAGAGGAACAAGACAACACCCCCCTCCCCCGTCATTCTTCACATCACTAGGCATGTGTAAGATTGTGGTTTTGGGTTGTTTTTGTGTCATGTTTGCATGCAGTTTGCAACTCTGGATGAGAATCGGCTCACAGGTGAGTAGAGTCTGTGTGTTTCTGAGTTTGCACTACGATTCACAGGCCCAAGTGTGCTTGAGAGAGAGAGAGAGAGAGAGAGAGAGAGAGAGAGAGAGAGAGAGAGAGAATTCAAAATACGCACGTGAAGAAACGCTTGCTTTGAAAAATGCATGGAAAGATGCTACAAGGATTGGCCAACGTGCATTTCCAAGAAATGCAAACTAGACGTGCACAGCTGAAAAACATGCGGATGAGAAAATGCACGGATTTTCACACAAGAAGAAAAAAGCGGAGCTCACAATCTGGTATGTACTCAAGTCAGACTACAACTCCCACCCTTCCCAACCAGCACCACCACTGGAGACCTTGGCTGGGAAGGATGGGGGCTGTGGTCCCACACAACTGCAGGGTGCAAGTTTGGGGAGGGTTTGGTAAGGCAACTCCACAGACACACCTGAGGCTGAGACACACTGCAGTGGCCACACACGGTTCGAGACGCATCTGACAGGCGGGGGACACCTGCCCACCTGCCACAGCACGCACGGCACCATCTTATGCACAGGCTGGCAACGATGCCTGGACAGGAGGGCTGGTCGGCCCCGGACACATTCGGCAGCACAGAGGCAATTCACGTGCACTCGCGAATCGCCAGAGGGGAGGAAACACAGCCCCAAAAAAGAAAGCCAGCAAGAAGAACAGTTGCTAGGTGACCGGGGGACCTGTGTCCCTGCCCCTCAGCTGCCGTCCAGGTGCAAACTGTCGATGGGCAATTATTCTTACAAATATACTTCATCTTCGAACTGGAATTGGACAGGGCACCTGGAACCCTGCAACTACAGTAGCATAAAAAGGCAACTCTGCATGGTCTAAGAGCTGAGCCCCCAGGGCGGGGAGATGAGGAGCAAGCCCAGAAGGCCTTTCCTTGAGAGTGAAATCTACCGAGCTCGTGTGTGAGATGTGTGCTCAGAGAAATTCTCCTCTCAAAGCACCATCCAGCTCCAGCTTAATCAGATGGAGGGCTTCGGTTCCTCTCCCGTTTCCCAGAAAACTCTTACTTTTATACATGGACACAGTCAGGGCACCCATCTTGGAAAGGGGCAGGTGCTTCTCCCACTGGTTACAGCAAACGAGTGCCCCTTTTTCAAGAGTGCATATTTTTCCATGCATCTTTTCCAAATGCCACCAAAACGCTTGCGGGTGGGGATCTCTGCACATCGCGCTCAGAAATGCACTGAAATTTGTGTTAGTTTTGGAAAATGCACACTAGGTAAATCAACATTGAAAATGGAGTGCGAGAAATTTCTCACAGGTTCCCAGCAGCAGAGTCTTTCGTGTGGTTGTGTCTGGTTTCAGAATTTCCTGCCCAGAGAAATTCATTTGTGTGCTGCAGTGTCAGTCAGCTCTTTGGGAAAAAAGTCAATTTTGAATAATAACAACAGCTTGTCCTGAAGATTTTTAACAAACAATTATAATTCCTGTCTTGCTGTTGTCAATGGATTTTATTGCTTCAGAGAAATGTAAACAAAGACAAGTAATAACTTTTCCAGACAAGGCTCACCCCAGCCAGGGGCTTCCTCAGGGGTTCAAAGCGGCACTCTTGCCCAGATTAATGTTCGTCATTTGAAACCGACATTACGGATTAGTACGGGATTCATTAAATCCACAAGCAATTAATTGCAAGCAAATGGAGTCAATGCAGCCTTCAACACTGAAGAAGATTGGGCTGGACTTGGAGCCTGGCTGAAGCAGGAAAATGGGCCGGGGATTTTTGCTTCGCCCTCAAGCACAGCATGATGAAAACTGAGACAATGCTTGCATCAGCCTTTCACACCCCACGTGCTGGGCATGACATGTGCGACCAAGACGAGGCATGCACTGCCAGATGGTGTTTCCGGGCAGTCTTCCTGGTTTTTTCCTGCAAGGAAGCCAAGGTGGCTTTCACAACACCCCTGTGAGGTAGGTTAGGCGGAGAGGCACTGGCTGGCACGGAACAGTGGGTCACACAAGACGGCAACGCACAACTTCACGCTGGAGCAGGCAATTCCAAGCAAGCGCTCGAGGAATGCATCTGGACGCTGCCCGGGTGCAAAAGCTCAGCCACGTGGCACGCGCTGTCATGTCAAAGAGGCAGGCTCATCCGTGCGCACACCGTCAGAGCCCAACTAAATAATGAATTCAGTCAGGGCAAGTTCACCTATTGCTTATTAGGGAAACGTCTTGCAAAAGACGCATACATGCATCCCAGCGGCACCCAAACCGGCATGCACTGGGGAAAATACGCGCAAGGATGTTCATCCACTTTCATGCAAACGCCGAGCAAATAATTCCTGACTTCTTTGGAAGTCCAAACAGAAGACAAGGCGACCTCCTGCCCGCAGGTGTCTACCTGCTGGAGTACAGTCAGGGGCCCATGCCTGATAACCAGAGGTGCCTTGGGTGGCCCTTCCTGCCGCCACCCAGAATGGGCAAGGGGAAGGGTGCCTGCCAGAGACGCTGGTGTCCGAGCTTGGGTGCCTCACAGGCCCCTGCAGTTCCCACTCTGACCTCCAGTCGTGGTGTCGCCGGCGAGCCAAGACAATGGTGGACTTGGGCTCTGCCCCCTCTTGGGCGTTCCACACGGGCTCCCTCCCCTTCCTGCTGACGGGGAAATGTGGCTTTTGCGGGGAGCCTATTTCATGCCGCCTGCAAGATCACCTTTCCCTTTCAGTGCTCCGTGGCCTGTAGAGTTGCGTTCTCTCCAAAGAAACTGAAAGCATGCAAAGAAATTGGCCCAGCGAAGAGAAGACAAATCCTTGGACAATGATCTCTCGCAACGTATCTCCCATTTTTTCCGCATGTGCCTCGCATTAGATCCTTCAGTTGCCTTTTGATGGTTCTGCTAAGCAGATGTGAACTTGTTTAGTTTCAGATCTGTCTTATTTTTGCCTCTTGCTAGAACAGATGGGCAGCTCTTTCCTTCTTCAACTAAGCAGCGTTCATATGAAGTGCAGAGGGAGGGGATCCGTGCAGGCTTCCTGAAGAGATGCCACATGGAACATGGTCCGCCAGGAAGCAAAGGCCGGGCTGCCCCCCCAGCCACAGAGCCTTTGTTCTGGTTGGGTTCATTCCAATTATAACCAAAGTGTTTATTTAACCGTTTTCTCTGCAACTCGGGACTGTTCTTTGACAAGAAAAGGAGCCGAGATGAGCTTTGCAAGAGAGGAGGTGTTGGCCAGGTGGTGCAAGGCCGGATGGCCCACGGATCCTGGATCCAGGGGCAGCCGTCCTGCAGCAACAGGCCATGCGACCCTTTCTGGGGATTGCCTCTTTCGCTTTAGCAGTGGAGGGCAAGTGGCCTTCCAGCTCACTAGCCACATGCCGACCCTGACGCTGGCTCTGTGCTGAGCTGACCGCAAAGGTGACTGTGGCGGCTTGCTGCCCGCCTTTTTCTGAATGGGGAAAATGCAATTTCAAATAGGAAAAATGCACACTTTTTCAAGCGTGTATTCAAATCAGTGCATCCCACCACGGACTCGGGCATGGAAGTATGCCCCTTTTGGAGAACTCGCTTTTTACAGTGTGCGTTTTCCAAGAAGGGTGGGATCCTGGTAACACGACTGCAGGCCTGGGAATGAGCAGGCCTTCTCTGAAAGTGGCCATCATGCCGGTCTTCGGGGCTGCACGTGGGTCCTTCCGTCAACCTTTTGAGCATCAACAAAATTCTTGTGCATCTTTCTCTCTCGTGCACACACTCTCGCACACACATTCCTCACGGGATTTCTG